GCTCTGAAGAATATTAACATATCTTCAAACTTTTATATGTTAAATTTAAAATTATCCTTTCTTTTTTTATCTCTTTTTGCGAAATTTACATTAAACTTCCGTTTTCCAGAGTAAATTATAGGGTTATTTACCTCACCCAACAAAAGGGAGGATATGCTTTGTGCTCTGTAGATTAAAGCACAACGGGAATAAATTTGCGCTTTATCCAAGCTGTTTTTTGCTACTTATCTCATGTTTATCATTGATATTTATTGCAGCATATTTAGATAACTATTAAAGTGTTTCATTATGTGTAGTTTTCAGGCTTATTACTTATCTTAAAAAAAAAAAAAAAAAAACATTTTATATGTTAAAAAAGTATTTAAAGTGTTGATTATACTTAAATTTTAGAATAAATGTTAAATTAAAAATTAAAAATATAAGCACAATTATGCACTTCGTCGCTTTTGAAAAATTAGCTGGTATGCTAAAAAAAAAAATGTCTCGCAAAAGTTTTGTTCACCCCTCTAAAAATTTAGCCCTGTCCTAATTTGTAATTTTTTTTTAATAAATCGTAGCAAAATAAGAGAATACTAGTTTTGAATAATTTTATGTCTAAACTAAAATTTTAACTTTTCTTCTTGTCTTTTTTTTCTTCTTTCTTCTTCTTTTTCTCTTTCTTTGATTGCGTAATTTAGTTTAGCAAAAACTATTCGTTATTAGTATCAACAACTGCAGCAACTTATAGATCTTATTATTGTTTTGCTTAAAAATGAATAATAGATCTTATTTTGATTAAACTTCCACTTAGTTTTGGAGTGCCTAAGTTGTGTGTTTATTCATAAACAAATCTATAAACACAACAAAGCAAAATCAATCAAAATAAATAAAATGAAATCAATCAAATTCGATGAAACAAAATCAACAAAACGAAAGCAAGTCTAATAACTTAAACTTTTTGCCTCCTAATCGGTATCATTGTTGATCGGAAAGGTGAAAAAAGGGAGAAAAGTTATCTGGAAAAAAACTAAAGAAATAAATAAAATAAAAGATTCTGTTAACATCGACGCTTGTTGTCAAATAATAGCGAGCAAAGGCTGAAACACCCTACTTGCATTAAAAAAATTATTTTAGACAATTAAAATAATAAAAAATAACATCCTAATATTATCAAAATAAAATATAAAGAAAATAAAACTAAAAAGGTGGAACTAAGGTTTTAAAAGTTACAAATAGCGAATCAAAACTTTATAGTCTAACTGAAGATTTTAAAAGTAAAACTATGAACAGGTGGCTCTTTTCCAATAAAAATCTACTATTATGCTTTGTGCAATAAGAAAAAGAAAATGGTCTTAATCACAATATTAAAGATTTGCCATGCTTTCTGTCCCTAAGGAAAGTATGTTAATTTTTACCGTAGCACTTACTTATGATAATGACTGGTAATGACTTATGATAAAATTATTTTATAAAAGTAAATTTAATAAATTTAAAAACTGCACCACTGGACAGTAAATTAGCAAAATTAACTATCCTTTCAGCGCTAGATTTAGAACCTGCGACACCTTGATGCTGTGTATAGTCACCCCCATTTATGGTATTGAGATAAAAAAAATTTTTTTACTGTGCATGCGTCGCATTTTTTATTTACTTTTCAATGTTATAAATTTATTCATTAGTTAGTCTTTTTTGCACGTTTGTTTAATAAACATATATTTTCATGCGCATTGGAATCAATCTATAAGAGTATTTCGATTAAAGAAATAAACATATTTTTAGTAATATATTCGCACTAACTATTCCAGACAATTGATATTTTGTCAATTATATATATATATATATATATATAGTCCAAAATGTAGAGAAAACAAGAGAAAAATTACAGAACAATGAAAAAAGGGGAAAAAAAGAAAAATAATAATAAAAATAACGAAAAACCGGGGGGGGGGAGCAAAAAATTTTAAAAAATCCGAAAAATAAAAAATATAATCTTTTCATCAGCTCACACAATTATATCCACAAAAAAGAGTGCTTTCTAATATTGCATCAATATAGCCAAGCAAAATATATCAATACAATAGTGTGAGAACAGGTACAAGAAAAAGAGGACGGCCGAACCTAAGATTTTTAAACTGCCTTGAAAAGGACCAACAAGTTTTAAGGATAATAAAGTGGAGAACCTTGGCTGAGGGAAGAATGTGTTGGCATAGGCTTGTTGAGAAGGCCAAGGCCCATCCTGGGCTGTCGTGCCAATGAGAACAAGAGGAAATGTGAGAAGAACTGAAAAAAATTTACAAAAAAATTACAACAAATAAAAGAGAACACAATAAGTATATTTTTTCCCCTTTTTTTCATTGTTCAGTAATTTTTCCCTTGTTTTCTCTACATTTTGAACTTATTCTATGAGTTTTATTTACTTGCAGCTTATGCGCAAATGAAACTTATGGTTTTTCTTAATATATATACAAGTACTATAACTACAATTATGTCCTTAAAAATCCATTTAATTTACCAATTTACCTCAACACCAAAAATGGTTGCAACTATGTATCTTAATTTTTTACAGTGTATTGAAGTGAAGAAGAGGAATCGATGCAACGCATAAAGTGAGTGAATGTCACTGGAGGCAGAGACGCATTATTTTTTATTACATTATTCACACAGCGTACTGCGGAATCTATGCTATGTAAAACAATTTAATAAATTTGACCACCAAAACGGCGGCTTGGATAGATCGGAACATGGGTTAGAATTCTCTTACAGTCGGGCTAACCATGGGAGGTTTTCGTGGTTCTCCTATCCATCTAAAGCAAATAAGGGTTAGATCCTTCAGAATGACCTCCACGATGGCTAGTTTATCCCAATGCTCGATCCAAGAGTTCCCTAGTCTTCTGAGGTCGGTGCAAAATTACAAATTTACGAGATTGAGCATTGATAGTTGTAAATTATGAATTTTGCTGAAACTTTTCACCGCTGGCTATAAAATAAAATAAAATGGTGGCAACTACCTTACATCAAAGTGGTGTAAGGAAACACCATAGATAATTTTTGGTTCCTAGTTTTGTACTACACAAAGAACAATGAACAGTTTATGGTATAGTCAAATTCCAAGAATGCTCTTTTGCAGTAGATGGTGCTAAGTTGCTGCACACCATTTTGCTTGCTGCGCACCATTATAATAACAACAAGATGCATACGAGTAGACTAAGTTACTTTTAAGATACAACTTAAAGTAAGAATAGTTAGTTTAGGAAACATACACTCACTGATTCTTAAAATATTATAAATAATATAAATATTCGTAAAATATTATAAATATTCATAAAGAACACTCATAAGCTCATATATCAAGCATACGCGTAGCAGAGAGGGGACACTAGGACGAATTCGATCAGAAGCGGCTAGGAAATCAATATATTAAAACTATTTAATGAAATTGCCAGATACTTAGAATTTAAAATATAACTATCCTTATTATATAACTAAAATTATACTGATACGGATTAGGTAACTTTTCTCTAAGTTGAACTAATTTAGCAGTTGTAGTCATGAATATAGTTTATTTCACGTTCAAATAACTAACTTGTTTGAGTCATGACAATTTGAGTCATGATAACAGAGTCATTGCTGGAGAATTTTTTTAAAAATAATTTAGTAATAAAATTTCGATTAATATTTATGTAGAAAAACATTTCATATTCTACAAATTACGACAATATTATTAATTTAACAAATATAATTATAATATAGCAAATATTATTAGTAATTTTTGCCGTGGAAGAACTCTTTTTAAAATTAAAACGGACAAAATTGGGGTTTAACTAAAAAAATATTAATAATAATTTTTAATATTTTATTACAGTTAATATTTTCACGAATTTTGAAATGTAGAATAAAACAATAGAGGAAAATTTGTTAGGACAGATATGCCCTTTTTATTTTTGGAAAGAGATTCTTACCGATTTATGAAACATTGGGCGTTTTAAATTAAAAAATACTTCTCTCTTTTTTTCCTTTTTTTTAAATAAAGAAAATTGTAAAACGAAATTGTCAACGAAACATTCAAAGCAGTTCGCAAAAAAATATTTATTTTGTATCGAAAAATATATAAAATTAATAAATAAAGCCTCTGATTTACTTTAATTTTTTATGTACATTTTTAATCGAATTATTTAGTTATTTAAGCTTTACTAACTATTTTTCTAGAAAATTATATTTCAAGAAAAAATTATGCGCTTCAAATAATTTTCAATCTGTTAAAGAATTTCTTATCAATTTTTTTTTTTTTAAAGATATAAGTGTTGGGAAAAAAGTATTTTTTCCTGAACAGCCATTTTGCAAGAGAGGACCATTTTCTCAATATATTTCAAGAAAAAAAATATGCGCATGAAATAATTTTTAATCTATTAAAGAATTTCCTATCATTTAAAATAAATAATATTTATTTATTTATTTATTTTTTAACATATAAGTGTTGGAAAAAAAAAATTTTCCCCTAAAGAATCATTTTGCAAGAAGAAAAATCGACGTAACTTGTAAATCTATTATATTCTGTACTCTTTATGACAAAACAAAACCATTTGAGCAAAACCTTTGCAGACGACCGTACAAATTACAGTATTTTTGTTAACCCTGTGCAGGCTCACTGTTTCTAACAACTTAAATTACATAGTCTCTTGGCAGAAAAGAACAGGTGGGTTTGCATTTTAAACCGACCGGAAACGCAAAAGAAAAGAAAAAACTATAATCCGAAAGTACCTATTGTCCCGTTGCTCCTCTAAATTATTGAGGGCGGTGAAATGTTTCTTATGAAAAGGAAAGAAAAACATCACCTATTTGGCTGAGTAGTTTGGCAACCAATTATCCCGAGCCGCCTTCCGTAATCAATTGGTAAGTAGGAAGGAGGGCGGCGCCAACGGCGATCGCCGCCATATTCCCTGTCGCCAAACCCCTTGCGACCAATTGGAAATCGGATTTTGAACAACCACTGGGCGGGACGTTTGCCTGGCCAAGTGCCACCCTCAAAAAGTCCCTACAGTTGAGCAAGTTCTCATAGTACAGAAAGAGCGCGGGGACGTATCGCTGCTTTTTTTACAGCCGGTTTCGTCTATTGTGTTTACGTTGTTTACTTCTCGAAAAACTTATCCAATCTGTCACGTGCTTTTTACTTTTGACATTTAATCGGTTTGTGTAGGGTGTGAAGAATAAAATAATTCGCTAAATCTGTGAATTGATTTGAAGTGCAAGATGCATTTTTTACTAGTCATAGATTTTTCACTGGGTGAAATCGAGCAATGAATGCATTTGAGTTTTTGTCTTGTTTAAATAAACATGCTCTGTGATCGTACTGCTCGCGTCGGAGAGGGCAGGTCCCCTCCTTTAGCTGCCAACGCTATCGATATTGCAAATCCTTCTACAAGAATCGGTGGTGTACTCGATACGGACTACATGGACAATATGACCACAAGACACTCTTCCCCACCTACATCGGAAAATAATTCTTCCTCATCGCCAATCATGCAAGAATCTTCTACGAAACCTAAACTGTCTTTCAGCATCAGCAGGTTGCTCGGTGATGATTCGAAAGTGGACAGTGACAACAACAACAATCATCGAAAAGATGACGGTAGGTCATCAACGGACAACAACAGCGTGCACGGTTGTGATAGCAGTTCGGCACGAACAACTCCGGCGTCTTCAACCGCAGCATCACCAATGATGGTCATTAGTAGTAGTGGGTGCTGTCCTGGACTTAATAACCAACCACCTTATTTTTCGACCAGTGACCTGAAGATGTCAACTATGTCAGGGATGGTTCCCCATTATGACCCTCTTCAAAGTGGAGCAAATGGAACTGTGATAAGGGTGCCAGCACATAGACCGGCACCTTTATCTTACCATACGACTGTCTCCTTTCCTTGGGTCGGGTCCCAAGGTATAGTCAAAGATAGAATTCCAGGTTGGTCATTATTTTTTTGTTCTTTTCTTTTTACTGGTTCCACATTAAATAAAAATAATGCACAAATTATTAAACATTAAAAGTTTAATTATAAAACTAGAAAGTCAAACTGCTTAGGCATAGGAGATACTTAAAGAGCATGACGCATATACTTTTTGAGTATGTTTGTCAAAAAACTTTTATTATAGCTTGTAGAATCTGTCCATTTAACTAAGTATGAAAAAAAAAATGCCATTTCGTGTTTTTGTCCTATATTTTTTGCTGGATCAACGAAAACAACTCTTCAGTCTAATGTGCTTTATGAGACTAATGTTTTTAATCATAAATTATTCAACATTTAATCTTGTTATACTTGGGTACTGACTCAAAGTAAAGATAGAATTCTAGGTTGGTCAATATATTTTTTTCCGTCAAAGCATTTATTTCCATTATTACCTTTTTCTGATTTAATGTAAAAAAAAATAAATAAATAAATAAATAAAACGCTTTAGTTTGAAGTATTTATGAGATTAATATCTGTCATCATAAATTGTGAAACAATAAATACCACGATTTTTTTGCAAGTTTATGTGTAAATAGTTTGTCAAATAGTTTAGGTACAGTTTAAGTATGTGTGTCAAACTACTTTTTATTTTAAATTGTAGAATCTGTCCATCTAATTTAAGTATGAAAAAAATGAGGTCTTGTGTTTTTATTTCTTATTTCTTACTGGTTCCACAAAAACTACTCTTTCAAGTACTTTATGAGATTAATATAGCTAATCAGATATTTTTTTGAAACAATTATTGGGACAATTTCTTTGACAGTTTAATTGTAAAACTAGATAGTTAAACTGTTTAGGCATAATTTTGTTGTTTGTGGAATCTGTGTACCTCATTAATATCTAAAAGAAAAAAATTAATGATTAATTGATTTTTTTTGCAATGACTTTCCTTCATTTAAAGATTTATCTAAGAAATTCTTTTGTTTGTTTTGTTGTTAGTACTGAAAAGCGTATAGTTTCTTACCGTAACCAGTCATTGATTGTTAAATTTGTAACAGTTTGATGCTCATTGTGATTCAAGAAATCTTTTTTTTTTTTTGTTCATCATTTTGTGTTCTCCATTTAAATACCTTTTTTAAATTTTTTTTACTATCATTAAAAATATAACTTACCATAAGTTCTTTCAGTAACAGTTTAAAGTCTTACTATAGGGCTATATGAATAACACTCTTCTTTTACATGCCGACAATTTTTTTGTGTCAATATTGTAATATGAGAAAAATTATAATATCCTTCTCGATGCTGCATAACATCATCGTCGTGAATGCACTCAATACCATATGGGGATAAAATAATTTGTATATATATATACCGATTATAAGAATAAAAGTAATTTAAAAACATCTAAAAATGCAGAGCATTATGCCGTGTATCCAATAGCTTAATATTATTTACAATGTTCTCAATTTTCATTAGATTATATGTTTTACCGACAAATTTTTTAATTTATATTCCTTCATTTTATATTTATTAATTTTAAAATTTTATGCATTTTAAATTTAATGAGGCCTATTTTTTTTTATTTTTTTTCTTCATAATATCTACCTATCAATCTATCTAAAAACAATGAATAATATTTTGTTTTGCAGAATCTCTGTATTTTAAACAAACGTAGGGGCAGAACGATTAATTACAATTTAGAAACAAATATACTAATAATTAGAATTTTTTACATAAAAAATCATTGTAGAAAGAAAGCAGATAACTTGACAACGCTCTGAACAGGTTTGCCAAAAAAGCTCTAACAGCAATTAGTACCTTTGGTTAGTGTCTAATGTTTGTTTAATGTCTAGATGTGCGAGTGTATGTATAAATATAATGGTTCAGACAACACTATTCAAAAAAGCGGGTTATTCAATTGAAAAGGGAGTTTATTATCTAAACTTAAATGCTAAATTTTTACGAAATTTTTCTTTTTAGCGGTATTTAATGTAGAGTATAATGTCTTGATTAAATAAACTCAATCTTTTGATCAATAAACAATTATAATAAAATCTGCTAGTATTGGCATCATAAAACATAAATGTCATTTAAAGTTATATGAAAATAAATCAATGCTAATGAAAAATATAATATAAATAATATATTATTTTATCCTCTGAAAAAATCAGTAATTGAAGAATGTTTTAATACCCGCTTAATTCGCCAATTCATCGAAATTTGTTTCTGTTTTGTATATTTCTTTCATGTATATTTCTTTCATGTATATTTCTTTCAAATGCTTTTGGATTTCTTTTATTTTATTTTTATCCTCGACACTTGAGAAATTCCAAGTTGATTAGCTGATTCTATTTAAGGTATTTTAAAATTTATTTCTAAGACACCTGCCTACAAGATTTCATTAATTCTTAAACTATACTAAATATATATAAACACACTCACTAGATGAAGAGGTATTACTAATTTATTAACTCCATATCTTTCAATTGCAGAGTAAGATTTTTCAGATTCATTTTTAAAGTTAAATTTAACAGTGATAATTATAAATAGACTTTGTACATTTTTAACAAGAGAAAGTAAATCAATCAACAAAATAATTTTAAGTTTTAAATAAACATTATTTAAAGCATTTTGTTATTGGTGCGTCACCATCAGCGTATTATATTACTAAAGATTTTATTATTCCTATTACCAATAATTCCTTAATTCATGTTTAAACTTTGTTTCTTGACGCTAGTTTCAAAATATTTTTAATCGTGATTCCTTGAAAAAGTTCCTAATTTTTAAATAAAATAAATACTGACGCAAGGGGAGAGCATCCTATTACAAACCAGTGATGATATAATACAACTGACAACTAAGTTTTAGTATAAAATCTCATTGATATCTTAATAAATTTCTATAAACTCCATCTATATTTCAGTACATTAACAGTGCACATAACATTACGTTTGCAATCTAATATGCCCAAGCAATCATATGATATTTATGTAATTAATATATTTATACAAACTTTTTTAAATCTTAAATTGCAGATAACGTACAAACCGGCTTCGGCATTTTCATAAAACCATTGTCTCCACAAAATTCTGGTACTCTAAAAACTTACTGATATCTTCGTATCTTATTAGTGATATCTTAATAAACTCATACAAACTCCATCTGTTTTTCAGTTCGTCAACAGTATTCATAAAATTATGAATGCAATAAAATATGGCAAAAAAAATCATATGATATTTATGTAATCAATATATTTATACAAACTTTTTTAAATCTGAAATTGCAGAAAACGTACAAACCGATATCGGCATTTTCATAAAACCATTGTATCCACAAAATTCTGATATTCTAAAAACTTACTGATATCTTCACATCTTATTAGTGATATCTTAATAAACTCATACAAACTCCATCTGTTTTTCATTTCGTCCATAGTAGTCATAAAATTACGAATACAATAAAATATAACTAAAAAAAAACATTTTTATGTAATCAATAGATTTATACAACTTTTTTAAAATCCTAATAATTGAGATAACTCACGAACAAACTTTGTAAATTATCTTTACTATCATTAGTTTCATATTTGCTTTTAACTTGAGCGAAACCACGATTATCTTTTCTATTTTTTGGCATTTTCATAAAATTCTGCACTTTTAAAGTTTTGTATTATTAAAAAACAGCCAAATATTTCATCGATATCATTTTCATTAATATATTTGATAGATATTTGTTCTTTACTACTTTATACTAAAAAATGAATGTTAATATATATATTTTGAAATAAAATCTTTCACGCAACTTTTTGAAAGAAATTTTCAAAAATTGCTAAAAAAAAACAAACATTTCTATTATATTGTAAAATATTAAAAAAATGCACCACTATCATTTTCTTATGTTCCGGATGACTGGTTTGGAAACAATAGATTGACTTTTTTCATAAAATCATTCTTTTTGTTGCAAAAATAACAATAATAATTAAAATGTCCGATCTTTTTAATTATCCTTGACATTTTGCTGCTGAAACAATACAATTTACTTTATTTATTTTTAATTTCACGTTTTCGCACCTGAAAATATTATCAAAATTCACGTAATACAACAAGTAATGACATCGTTACTTAAGACATGAATGCAAAGTACAATTTTCTTATGCTTGTTTACGCATAAAACAGGTATTATTTATTTTTTTATTTTTGCAACATTCAGATCATATTAAATTTCATTATTTCAAATCTCACTTTCTATGAAAAGTAGCATAATATTTCAGACTAGTCTATCTTTTTAATCTTCTTATTCTCAAACAATTATAATGGAAAGTTTTGTTTATTTAAAAATGAATAGTTATCATAGGATAAATCTATTACTTTTCTTGATTGAATTGATCTCGAGGTTGTCAAATAGCATATTGAATGATTTGTAGTTTTTATTTATTTATTTATTTCCTGCCGTTTTTGTTGAACTCTGCAATAATAATATTTTGTTTTAAATGGCATTGTTATCAATTGATGTTGTTGGATGTTTAAAAGTTTCGATAGCTTAAAATTTGGCACAACCATTTTAAATAGCAAACAACAGTTTTTAAATTTCATAAATGTAAGACGACAGAATTTTGATATTAATGTGTTCATACTGTCTAGTAATGGGTAGTAATGATAACACTGCTACCTTAACAAAAATCTTCTTTCTAAGTATTATTTAATCATTTTTCTTTCACCTTTATATAGCGTGTAAGTCTTCGGTGATATTTTTTCTTTTAATTTGTTTTTAATCATTCCATTATTTAGCAAAAAAAANAAAAAAAAAAAAAAAAAAAATCATGAATTTGCCTTGTGATTTATTTTCTATGTACTACTTGAACGCATTTATTTGCGGTGCGTTATATTAAGTTTGTGTTCATAAAATAGAAATTTTAATGGCCTAAACTTTTCTCCCAATGTGCTTTGAATATTTTTTATAGATTCATGTGGCTTATCTCGATGTTTGCTTTGCTGGCAAGCCTTCATGGTAGTTTCTC